GAGCTTCAGTCTAATGGGAGAGCAGACATTAATCGAATAAACACACTAATAGATGTCAAATTGAACTATGAAAAATGCTATGAGGCTGGGGGCAAAAAAAGGAACTTAAAAAAAATGACGGTGATGGGGCGCCTGGGTGGCTCAGTCGGTTAAGCGTCCGACTTCAGCTCAGGTCACGATCTCACGGTCCGTGAGTTCGAGCCCCGCGTCGGGCTCTGGGCTGATGGCTCAGAGCCTGGAGCCTGTTTCAGATTCTGTGTCTCCCTCTCTCTCTGCCCCTCCCCCATTCATGCTCTGTCTCTCTCTGTCCCAAAAATAAATAAACGTTGAAAAAAAAAAATTTTAAAAAGAAAAAAATAAAAAAAAAAAAGAAAGTGGATGAACAGAAAAGTTGTATGAGAAAATGCAGGTTGAAAATAACTGTGGAGTATGGAGCTGTGGAATCAGTACATTGTTCACCTAAAACTAATGTAACACCGTGTGTTCGCAATACTTCAATTAAAAAGAAAGAAAGAAAATGAAAAGAATGCTGAATATTTTTGAGGCTCTGAAAATTAACATAACAAAGTCTTATTTTACACTAATTAAATCAGAAGAAAAAAAAAAGCATGCTATGATGCAGTGTACAGGTTAAGAAGTTTTGGAATCACACAAGTTTCAATCCTGGCCTTGCCATTTTATGGGTTAAATGAAGATAATATTTTCCTCTTGGGGTTGTTGTAGTGATTAAGATCATATATGGTAAACCACTTATTGCCTAACATACAGTAGGCAGTCAAAAAGATTTATTTATTTTCTTTTATAGTTACTAAGACTAGGAAGGTGGTAGAGAAGATGATAAATTCAGACTTTGCAAATTAGAAGAGCTCTTTGAAAAATACATTTGGCTATACTTAGCCAATTAGATGCTAATACTCTTTGACCCAGTAATGACACCTTTGTGGATCTAGCCCAGGATATAAACCAAAAGAAGGGGAAAATCACATGGACAAACATACTTGTTGCATGTTATGTCAATAATTATGACAAATTAGAAATAATCTAAATATCCAGTGTATGAAAAAATTAAATTACTTGGGTGCCTACTACATGTCAGGCATTTCATATATTTTCTCCATTTTCTTCACAGCAATTCTGCAATGTGACTATTTATTTGTTCCCACTTTTTAACGACTTTGTTCAAGGTCACACAGCTAACGATAGAACCTGAATTCAAACTAAGGTGTATACGATTCCACAGTTGTTACAAATATAGATGGTGGAGCAGGCCACTTGAACGTGAACCTCTGTTCCACCACTTACTAGCTACCTGGCCCTCAGCAAGTCAGTTGACCTCTCTGTCTCAGTTTCCTCCTCTATGAAATGGAAATAATAACAGTACCTTCCTCAATGGTTTAAATGAGGTGATACATAAAAGTGTTTACAACAATTTCTTTAAGAGCTACAGAAGTATTAGCTATTATTCAGAGTATTATGCTTCCATTACACCATGCTGCATCAGAAGCTGTAAATATAGGTTTTAATTAACAATGATAGTTTTTGTGTAACGTTATGTGAAAATATGAGAATACAAAATTGTATCTATGCTATAATTACAACAATGTAAAAGGCAGTATATAAGTGGACAAGAACTAGGATTTCTACACCAAAAAGACTGTATTTGTTGGGATATTGGTACTATGGTGAATTTATTTTCTTTTAACTTGCAATAATATTGTTTCATAAGAGTAACAACAATAAGGTGTTTTTTTTTTTAATTATGCTTAAGAAATTTTTTAGGGGCTCACACGTGGGTCAGTCGGTTAAGTGTCTGACTCTTGATTTTGGCTCAGGTCATGATCTCACGGTTCATGGAATCGAGCCTTGAGTCCAGCTCTCCGCTAACAGTGCCAGAGCCTGCTTGGGATTCTCTCTGTCCCTCGCTCTCTGCCCCTCCCCCACTCACACACAGCTGGCCCCCTCTCTCTTTCTCTCTCTCTCTCATTCTCTCCTCTCGAAATAAATAAACATTTACAAATATAGAGGAATTATTAAGAATTTAAAAAAAAAGAAATTTTCAGTAGTGTGGCTGCATACTTCTGTCTCTGCTGTGTAGAAACTCTACTAACTGGGGACTTACCCTCAGGCTAGACTCTTTGAGGGGTTCGGTGTTATTGGCTGAAGCAAGACACTTATTGCGCAAGGATTAATTTCCCAGTCTCTGAAATGATAGATCTGGATTCAGTTTCATGTCTATGGCTGAACAGCTGAGTGAGCTTAGGCCAATCACTTAACCTCTCAGAGCCTCAGTTTCCTCCTCTGAGAGGACATTCCTCATCATAGAGAACATAACTATGTCATGTTTTAATGAGTAGTAAATATGATAATGAATATGATGCTTCCTTGACACCCCACCAAGATTATCACAATTAAATATTTCCTAGAGTAATCAGCTGTTTAATGTTTGCCTCTCTAAGACATCCTCTGATGTCTTAGGAGATAAACCCCACCAAAGCATGGAGCACTGCATTGCATAGTGCAGCATCTAGCATAATGCTTTGCACATAGTAAGCGCTCAGTAAACACGTGGATGAATGCATGAAAACCTTATAGGAATGGTCTTGGCAGTTTCCACTACAGAAATGTGATCGGATTTAGTGTTGGCTCAGGAAAAGACTCACACAGCATGGTGTTGGCTTCAGCTGTCATAGCAAGGCTATGTGCTCTGCCCAGAGATATACAGCCAAGGGGGAAGTGTGGACCAAAATCCGAGCCACTGACCTGGCAGGGGGCAGGGGGCACAGATTGTCTACCTGGAACCAGAGATGACTTTCGATAATTCCCACCAAGGAACCACCATTTAGGCTAGCAGTGGCCTTGGGTCACAGAATCAGGGATCCAACCTCAAAAACATCCAATCCTGGGAAACTACATTAAGGGGCTTAAGGTAGGAAGGGGGAAATGACCAGATGAAAAGCCCTTCAATTTAAAGACAGTATTTACCTTGTCGAAGCAAGCAAATAACCCATTCACCACTACCCAACTCCCCCAAAAATGAATGTCTCTGGTATCTCAGCTGAACCTTTAGGTGGGGCTGAGGGCAAGACTCTGTTTTTCCACTGGAGGACATGAGTCAGTGAACAGTGAGGTTCTACTTAATCACCACCCAAAAACAAGGTCCTTAAAACCAAGAGCTAGAAAAGCAAGGAAGTGATTAATATAAAAGTCAGGATAGTGATTATTCCTTGGTCAGGGCAGGGCGGGGGTGGGGGTGGGGATGGGGGTGGGGGGGGTGGGGGTAAGGAACCTGATGCAGAAGCCATATATAGAGGTTTTCCGGGGTCCGAAAATGTTCCATTCCTTGACCTCTGCGGTGGTTGCTTCATAATTATACTGACACATGCTCTATGTAATTTTCTAAATGTGTCTTATATTTTACAATTTCAAACAGCTGGAAAAAAACACAAACTATACAGTGTTTTTAAGCAGGGAAAAATGACCAGATTTGTATTATTAGAAGATCACTTGGCTGCTGAATGGAACATTGATTGAAGGTGGGGCAAGGCTAGAGGCAGAGAAAACAGGAGGTGAGGTGGCTGCTATAACTTGGTGGGAGATTATAAAGACAGGCCAGGACCTCCCCCTTAACCTCCCTCCCTGGTGGCTCCACTTAGAGGGACTCACACTGCCTGGCCAGTGGCACCGAGAGCACATTTTTCACAATGCCACAATATTATCCAAGTTGAGTTGACACAGGGGCTTCTGTCTTAACATAGAATCACTGTCATGATATCTAATCACTCCAAACTTTACAGAGTGTTTTCACATCTGCCCTCCGGAACCAGAATGTTAGCTCCATGAGCACAGAGGCTTTGTCTTGTTCACGGCTATACCCTCAGTGCCTAGAACTGAACTTGATACACGGTGGGTGCTCACTACATATTACGGAATGAAGGAGCGCATTTAATTCTCATTGATATTTAATCATCACGACAACCTGTGAGGACAGGTAGGCTACGAATGATCATCCCCATTTTGGAAGTTAGGAAACAAAGACTTGGGGAAACGAAGGAACAGATCAAAGAGCTGATAATTTGGTGGACAAGAGAATCGTGATTTGATTTCAGGTTTTCTGCTTCAACTCCCTTGTTCTTCCTGCTCCTTCACAGCTGAAGAGCCAAGCCTTCAAGTTCTTAAAGCCCTGAAACACCAGCTGGAAGGAAGTATTCCAAAATACATAATGCCATCAGATATCCTATGTCATCGGACGTGCTGGGTACAGGATGAGCGAGGCCTGCCCAGGGCTCAACACCCATCACCACAGTCCCCTCAGAGGAGATGCAGGGTTCCCCTGGCAGATCAGATCCAGTCGGCCCTAGGCCAGCTGGCACCTGTATTTCCCCACATCCCTCACTTGTCTCTGCTCCTCATCCCATTCTACCCCTCCACGCAAGAGAAGCTTCCAAAGACCCTGTTATTTAACAGCAAAGACACGCGTTCTCATTTTTCTCCTTAGAAGAAAAGGAAAAGAAACAATAAAGAAATATGGCAGCAGGCAGTTTCGGTGCTCCTCAAGAGCCTTTGTCACCCGAGTGGGATTCCGTGGGGAGGCTAAAAACATAATGCTCCATGAGAAGTTAATCTTGGTTTCTTTCCTCTTAATGTTAATTAAAAGTAGTCATTTGAAGCAAAAACCACAACTCGGATACCTAGGGACTCCAGATGTTCAATTAATAGGAATGTTTATACACCTGGAATTATGTATGTCCTCCGTGGGAATCTTGGTCAAACTCCAAGAACCAGCAAACACAGTATTTAAAACAGGGTTTTGGACAGAATACTTAAAACACACAAACCGCTCAAAAAGTCAAACTTTTAGGTCACCTTCCTCCCTTCTTCCCCTGCTGCAAGGCCTGATACTCACTTTATCCCAAGAGCAGTGTGGTCTAGGAGAGTTGGACCATCCTAGTCAGTTAAACAGTCTGTGTAACCACTCTGAGAGTGTCACACGTAGGACTCACCAGAAATTCATTGGCAAACTCCTCTTTGTTAGATTTCTTGTTTTGGGCCTCATCCAGGAACTTCTGCAGAATTTCTCTTTGGTCCATGCTGCAGGGCAAGAGAAACTGTCTACCAGTGGGTTAAGAGAGGGCATGTCAAGTGGATGTCATGGCCGAGATACCACCAAGAAGCCACTGCTGCCTCCAGAGCAGAGCATGTTGAAGGCTGTGGTTAACTGACTTCATCACAAGCCCTAGAGGAAATTAGTACGCAACCAGCCTCTGTGGTCACACAACAAAGCCATCATCACTCCAGGGCCCTAGCGCCTTCCTTCTCGAGGAAGGAACCTGGTTACAGTTCAAGTGCTAACAAACAAGAGGCTAACCAGAGCATAACACATGGCCTGCTTAGCTCTGACACCGTTCCACTCCATCATCTTTAAGTCAAATTCACCCTTTTTCTTGCTTCCTAGAGAAAAGGCAGAATTACAGGTCTTAGGAACGGGGTCTGCCTCTCCCCATTTCCTCAATGAACACAAAGGCCCTGTCGATCCTTTCTGTTTCCTCCTGTCCCAAATGAACTCAGCCAAGTTCAGTTAGGGTCCGAAAGGGAGACAGACACCGTTTGGAATTAAGACACCTTCTGCCTGCACTATTCTCCCCCAAAGTTTCTTGTCCATGCGATCTGTGGAAAATTACTGTTCATCAGAGAAGGCTTTTTTATTCAGCAATCTTATGTCTGCCATATACACCTCAAACTCTCTTTTGGATGAAGCAAAGTCAGCTGCTTCTGACAGTATGTGTCTCTCCGTGGGCTGGGGAAGTGCTGACCTCTACTAAGGGAAGTGCTGTTGATTTCAGGACTGAGTATTGGTCTGTATAAGATCCAGGAGGACAGTGGCCCCCATGAGGAGCACCTGACCAGGAAGCTGGCACAATATCCCCTGTAGGCAATGCTAGTAAACTATAAGGAACAGAAAAAGAGTAAAATCAGCCACCTTGCTGGCAGCAGTATAACTTTCAGGGCCGAAAGGCTGAAGAACCATTTCTAGAGAAGGCATTCTACTATCCAACTAGTGCCTTGGAAAAGGCCATTGCTTCAGGAAGCCACGCTGTGCGTGTGGCATTTTGTCCCTGACAGACAAGCTGTTCGAGAGAAAGCTTCCACATCTCAGCTTGCGTAAATCCTCTCCTCAGTGGGTACAAACCTACCTAAGACTGTCTCATGCGGAGTGAGAGCAACTCAAAATCAGTATATCATCTGTTTGAAGACAGAAGTTCCATAAAAAATTGTTAACAAAATTAGTCTGAAATAATCCTGAAGAAAACCGGGAAATGTGCCATTAGAACTTCCTCTATTAGCAATCTTTTCTGTTTTGGATTATTTAAACTCTCTTTAGGAAATTCGAGGCACTACTAAGCTACATCCATTTTATTGAGCCTCGCAACAGGAAAAGAAAGGTCTTTGAGGGATTCTGCATGTGAAACAGTAGTTGTTGAGAACAGGATAGTATTCCTCAGTCCCCATCTAGCATTAAAGGAGACTTTTTTGTTGTACTAAATAATGCAATGTTTTATTTGGCTATCTTAAGACTTACAGGGGAAAAACTTTAAAAGTACAAAATCGAAAATTCACAATAACTAAAACCATGTGAAAGTATGTACATGATTAAATGAAGACTAAATGGCACTGAAAAGAATGAACTGTGTGAGTGCTAGAATTAAGGATTTTTTTTTTTTTTTTTTTTTAAGTAGGCTTCATGGCCAACGGAGTCCAATGCAGGGCTCGAACTCACAACCCTGATCAAGACCTGAGCTCAGATCAAGAGTCAGACACTTAACTGACTGAGCCACCCAGGTGCCCCTAAGGATGCTTTGTAAAATTCTTTAAACATTATTATACCATTTTTTAAATTAGAAAAAAGCAAAAATCCATTAATTTGTTCAACAAATTTATTGAGTACCCACTAAATGCTAAGTATTATGGTAGGGCTGGATATACGAGAGCAAACAAGCCAGAATAGAGTGAAAAAACACCCTCAAACTGGTTAATAAAGCATCTCAGGACTAAGACATGGCTGTAATTACTCATTAAAATAAAAACGTTCCAAACTAACCGGTTAATTTGCAGAGTAGCAAAGCATAACCCTAAAAGAAAAATGATTTTCTGTATTTTAACAAGTAAAAGAGATAGTTTCACAATCCCTCTGTCCCCTTAGAATGTAATTACTTCCAACAAAACTAGAACTTTACTAATTAATAAACAAAAAGATACCTAATAAAATAAGTTTTAAATGTATATTTCTCAAACTCATATTTCAGAATGATCTCTAACTTTATTCTCTTCTTAGGGAGAGCTAACATAGTAATGGCTACGAGATAAAGAAAAACTCGCTGAGTTGCCCCTCCTTTTACCCCAAATATAAAAATCTAAAAATAGCGTCTGAGCCGAACTGCAGATTTCTTTTCAAAAGCAAGCAGCAATTCTTGGGAGTCTGTTCCACACTAAAACCAAAAGATACAGAAACATCGTGAAATAACCAAACCTCAAAAACCCACTTCGCTGAAAGACCATTTCCTGAGTAGACCACTCAAGCAAACGACAAACACAACCGAAGGAGAAAACAAAAAAAACTTTTATTAACAGTTTTATTTTAACAAATCTAAGCTGCTACTTAATTTTTCACACTTCCTTCTGTCGATACGGGAAGGCGACAGGAGCATCATGCTTTTTGATATAGATTCTGATGACTCATTTATATCTTGTGGGAAGATCAACAACTGGGGAGGGGGAACATGTTCTACAGCAAAGACTGGCAAATACGTAAAAGAATTGACGAATTTATGGTGAAACATTTAAACCGGTCCGGCCTAAGCCCTAAGTGAACACAACAATTCCATGAAGTGAAAGACCCATGAGCACTTTGTCAGGACCCGCCAGGGTGAGTTCTAGTGGAAAGTAAAAGTGAATGAGCACCTGAAGAAGAGCCAGGAAGGAACACCTCACTGCTGCCTCCTGTGGTTCTGCTGTTTATTCAGAAGGTGGATGACAGCATAGAGGAGTGACCCTCGTAGTCACCTGCACTGGCAAGAGGGGAGCGTGCCTGTATAATGTCCGACATCAGTGTCACTGTCACGGAGGTTGGAATTCCATGACAAAAAAAAAAAAAAAAAAAAAAAAAAGAAAAGAAAGAAACTTTAACCAAAGAGAATATCAGGGGAGATCATTAGGACAAGTATTATCAGTTAATAAGAAATACACTCAGGTTTCTCACAACATCCTTCTCTCTCTATGGGGAGGCCTGTTTTACCCTGGGGAAGCCACTTAACAATCTTTGCTTCGGTTTCACTAGGGTCATTGATTTGATACGGGCTCCGTGTAGTATCCGTGAAACACGCAGTTCTTTGTGAGCATCCTGGTGGTCACCAAGGCCTGCTTGTCATTTCTCCTCAATGTCTTGTAGATTCAACCAGTCTCTTCCATTCCCATGCTGACCCCCGCCCCCCCTTCTGCACATGTGAATTCCATCAGCAACAGGCTCTTAGTTGTACCCCATGCTCGCGTCTCCTAGGAACCAAGCGTGGGTGAAAGGTCTTAAAACTCCACTTAAATGCTAAAGAACCGAAGTAGTTACCGATGGTCTACTGCACGCACGTCCAGATTCCTCAGCTTGTCACCAAGCCCCTCCTGGGCTTGGGTGGGTCCCCCCCACCCAAACCATCTAGCCACATCAACCACAGGCCTTACTCATTTTACTGCCGCCTCTTTTGCTACTTCTCACCTTTCCCCTAATGTTCGCCAAGATGAAAATAAAGCTGTAAAGCTTAGTTACTCTTTTCTTCACAACACCCGCCCCTAACTCCATCTCAGCACGACTTTCTTAGTCTGCCTCCTTTCGGTCGAAGTCTTTATTTTCAGCTGTGGAAGTTTGCTTTGTTTCTCCACAGGTTTCTTGCCTCCCACAAGTTTATTGAAAAGAGTTTATTCGAAAGAAGACACATAAGCCACCCCCTGTAGTTTTAAATGTATCAAAGGCCACGGTAGTGCCTTCCACATACGTTTGCGGGACCCACAGTGCTTAACGTGCTCTTAAGCACACCTAAATTACACCTGTTGTGATCAAGCACACTACGTAATGTGGTTAGGTGTTGGTGAGGGGTCCACCCTGACTTGGTTACTCTCTCCGTCAAGTACTCCAGGTCTCCTGCCTGGCATAGACCATGCCTGTCTCTGGCCAGGCACTTTTCGCTGTGCCAGGAGCAGATGGGCCTTCCCTACAGGGAGGGGTCCCAGAACCTGGAAAAGAGCATGTACCTGAGAGCTGCTGCCCGAGCAGCCGGGCCACTGTTATGGAAGGAATGATGCTGCCACCACCGAGGCAGAGCCCAGCTCTGTGCTGCTACAATGGCCAGGAAAAAAACGACCCCTTTATCTCCCAGAATAGACCCATTTCCCCTTCTATAAATGGACATAGTAGAGGCTGATAAAACGCCTCTGACGAGGCTTGTTGCACACATCACCCACAGCAGGAAAGTCCCCCATGCATCTCCTGGTCATGATGGCTTCTCATCGCTACAGCTTTCTGAGACCTCATCAGTCTCTTCGGTTCACCCGCTGTGAACTTCATAGTCAGCTTCCAGCCATCCACAGGGAATCACGCTCTGCCTTTGGTTTCAGAAGTACAACCCTCAGGAGGCTAACGACAACTGATAATTTGCAATTGACCCAATTTTCCTTCTATTAAAACAGAGTTGGGACTCTTGGTGAGACCTGGCATTGTGTTCAAAACGTAATCAAACTTGAAATCTTATCTTTCATTTGTTGACTCAGTATTGAGTCTATTCATTTATTCTTTTTTTTATTCATTTATTCTTTTAATGAATATTTATGAGATCCATAGGTACGCAAGAGAATGGGGAGGAGGGGTGCTACAGATGTGTACAACAAGTTGTCTTCATTCAAGGATCTTTTTCTAGTAGAGGAGGGAAGTACACAAATAACTATAACTTAAGGCCATTGGTGGGAATATGCAAACAGAATGTTGAGAAGGCAAAGATCACTTTGTATTTGGGTTTTCTGGGTAGCCTTCATCGAGGAAGTGACCTTT